GCTTAAAGTCATAACTGATAGAAACTTCCAGGATTTGTTCATTTTTACTTTTATGGGTCTATAAATCTTTTGAATGATAAAACAAGTTTTCTAAAATCTAAAAGATTAAAGATGATTGTGGCTGTTAAGTTTAATTAAGTAATCTGGGCAAGAGTACTTACATTTAGAAATGCTTTCTTCAAAAACTAATTATTATTAAAACGGTAAAAGGACCCAGAATGTCTCAGTGTTCATCCAAATGCAATCATCAGTTCTAATGAACGCCAACAGGAAGCCACGTGACCAATGATGTTTTATAATCCAGTGTTTTTTCATTTATACTTAAACTTAAAAAGAAATTCAGGATTACAGGTCTATCATAAAGTAAATTACTCATTTGTTGTCCTCTTCTGGGACGGACGGACGATTGAAGGGACAAGTGGATGCTGCACACCTTAGCCAAGACAAAGGAAACACAAAGCTCAACCCAGACATGAACCTGGATTGACGTAAAAGCCAGACTGATCTGTTTGTTGGGGCAGTTTTATGCTGTTTAACCATACTGACATAAAGGTGGGATGGGAGTCACCTCTGTCAGGCTAGCCAGATGTAATTTTATTGATTCCTGCTGAGGAATTTGCTATCTAATTCTCTCCTCTAGTGAGGTCAAAGGGCAGTGTTGTTGACAGATGGGGGGGGAGGGGGGCAGATGCACGTCGACATGTGGGATGACAACCTGCGTCCTTCAGCTGCTGGACCAGTCAACATGCTCCCTGAGATGAATTCCTTATTAATGACATTGATTTATTCCTGATTAGGAATTTATTTATTTAATACAGCAACAACGACCTTTGTGGAGCAAAAGATTGAGTGTGTGATTAATCCTCAGGAGCAACGACGAGGTGTCTGCAGCATGTAAAGAGCTTTCAGTTGACACACCAATGGTGACAAAACAACAAGCCAGGTGTTCAATTCTGACCCACCTGTAGCTTTTATTTATTTCTATGCATATCTTTGTTGGCCCTTGCAGGGGTCCTTGTAGTTTTCATTTCTCTTTTGAGTGTACAGCACTTTGGTGGGTCTCCTGGTCGATGGAAAGTGCTTTGGAAAAGAGATCTGATTGAATGTCCTTTGGATTGATGCAAAGGAGAAGTAAACACAACATGTCAGCACTAACAGCTGACCCTGCTATCAGAATGGTGGGGGAGCGCTGATGATTTAGGCTAGTTCTGCAACCACAGGCTTCGTTGGGTCACCCGAGAACTCCTCTGGATACCAACATATCCCAGAGTCTAATGTGAGTCTATCTGTCTGGCCAAAACAGGACAATGATCCCAAACACAGCTGCAGATTTACAGCAAATCTCTACAAACGGAAGTCAGATTCCTCCACAATAGAAACAATTTGTTTATTTCAATTTATAAGGCTCCTCCTTGAACCGTCACCTTATCGTGGTGGAGGAGTTTGAGTGCCCTAATGATCCTAGGAGCTATGTTGTCTGGGGCACTTAGTGCCCCTGGTAGGGTCTCCCATGACAAATTGGTCTTAGGTGAAGGGTGAGACAAAGAACGGTTCGAAGGATCTTTCATGGCGGTTAAAACGAAGAGTCGGAGTACCCGGCCCGGAGGGTTACCGGGGTCCCACCCTGGAGCCAGGCCTGGGGTTGGGGCCCGTGAGCGAGCGCCTGGTGGCCGGGCTTTCGCCCATGGGGCCCGGCCGGGCCCAGCCCGAACCGGATACATGGGCTCGTCCAACTGTGGACCCACCACCCGCAGGAGGAACATGAAGGGTCCGGTGCAATGCGAATCGGGTGGCAGACCAAGGCGGGAGCCTTGGCGGTCCAATCCCCGGACAAGAAAACTAGTTTTTGGGACATGGAACGTCACCTCGCTGGCGGGGAAGGAGCCGGAGCTTGTGGCAGAGGTTGAGCGGTACCGGCTAGATATAGTCGGACTCACCTCGACACATTGCATTGGCTCTGGAACCCGAGACCTGGAGAGGGGTTGGACACTCTACTTTGCTGGAGTTGCTCCGGGTGAGAGGCGGAGGGCTGGGGTTGGCTTTTTGTTAGCCCCGAGACTCTCTGCCTGTGTGTTGGGGTTTACCCCGGGGGACAAGAGGGTAGCTTCCTTGCGCCTTCGGGTCGGGGAACGGGTCCTGACTGTTGTTTGTGCTTATGGGCCAAATATCAGTTCAGAGTACCCACCCTTTTTGGAGTCCCTGGGACGAGTGCTAGATAGTGCTCCATCAGGGGACTCCATTGTCCTGCTGGGGGACTTCAATGCTCACGTGGGCAATGACAGCTTGACCTGGAGGGGTGTGATTGGGAGGAACGGCCCACCTAATCTGAACTCGAGCGGTGTTTTGTTATTGGACTTCTGTGCAAGCCGCAGTTTGGCCATAACGAACACCATGTTCGAACATAAGGATGCCCACCGGTACACTTGGTACCAGGGCAGCCTAGGTCACAGGTCGATGATAGATTTTGTAGTCGTATCATCTGACCTGCGGCCGTATGTTTTGGACACCCGAGTGAAAAGAGGGGCGGAGCTGTCAACTGATCACCACCTGGTGGTGAGTTGGATCAGATGGCAAGGGAACATGCCCCGTAGACCTGGCAGACCCAAACGCATAGTGAGGGTCTGCTGGGAACGCCTGGCAGAAGAACCTGTCAAGACGGTCTTCAACTCCCACCTCCGGCAGAGCTTTGACCACGTCCCGAGAGCAGTGGGGGACATTGAGTCCGAGTGGGCCTTGTTCCACTCTGCGATTGTCGAGGCGGCTGTTGCTAGCTGTGGTCGTAAGGTGGCCGGTGCCAGTCGTGGTGGCAACCCCCGTACCCGCTGGTGGACACCAGAGGTTCGGGGAGCCGTCAGGCTGAAGAAGGAGGCCTACAGGGCGTGGCTGGTCTGTGGGTCTCCGGAGGCAGCAGACAGGTACCGGATAGCCAAGCGGGGTGCAGCAGTGGCAGTTGCCGAGGCAAAATCTCGGGCGTGGGAGGAGTTTGGTGAGGCCATGGAGAAAGACTATCGATCGGCTCCAAAGAGGTTCTGGCAAACTGTCCGGCGCCTCAGGAGAGGAAGGCAGCAACTCGCTCACACTGTTTACAGTGGGGATGGGGAGCTGCTGACGTCAACTGAGGCTATAGTCGGACGGTGGAAGGAATACTTTGAGGAGCTCCTCAATCCCACCAATGCGCATTCCGAGGAGGAACCAGAGCTGGGAGGCCTGGGGATGGACTGTCCGATCTCGGGGGCAGAAGTTGCTGAGGTAGTCAAACAACTACACAGCGGCGGAGCCCCGGGGGCGGATGAGGTTCGTCCTGGGTATCTCAAGGCTATGGATGTTGTAGGGCTGTCATGGTTGACACGTCTCTACAACATTGCGTGGTCATCGGGGGCAGTTCCTAGGGAGTGGCAGACCGGGGTGGTGGTCCCCATCTTTAAGAAGGGTGACCTGAGGGTGTGTTCCAACTATAGGGGGATCACACTCCTCAGCCTCCCTGGAAAGGTCTACGCCAAGGTACTGGAGAGGAGGGTCCGATCGATAGTTGAATCTCAGATAGAGGAGGAGCAATGTGGTTTTCGTCCTGGCCGTGGAACTGTGGACCAGCTCTATACCCTTGCAAGGGTGATGGAGGGGGCATGGGAGTTTGCCCAACCAATCCACATGTGCTTTGTGGATTTGGAGAAGGCTTATGACCGTGTCCCCAGGGGCACCCTGTGGGGGACGCTCCAGGAGTATGGGGTGGGTGGCTTTCTGTTAAGGGCCATTCAGTCCCTTTACCAGAGGAGCGTGAGTTTGGTCCGCATAGCCGGTAGTAAGTCGGACCTGTTCCCAGTGAGGGTTGGACTCCGCCAGGGCTGCCCTTTGTCACCGGTTCTGTTCATCACTTTTATGGACAGAATTTCTAGACGCAGCCGTGGTGTGGAGTGTGTCGAGTTTGGTGGCAGGAGAATCTCGTCTCTGCTTTTTGCGGATGATGTGGTCCTCCTAGCTTCATCCAGCTCTGACCTTCAGCTCTTGCTGGGTAGGTTCGCGGCCGAATGTGAAGTGGCTGGGATGAGGATCAGCACCTCCAAATCTGAGACCATGGTTCTCGACCGGAAAAGGGTGGCTTGCCACCTCCGGGTTGGGGGAGAGGTCCTACCTCAAGTGGAGGAGTTTAAGTATCTCGGGGTTTTGTTCACGAGTGAGGGTAGGAGGGATCGGGAGATCGACAGGCGGATTGGTTCGGCGTCTGCAGTGATGCGGACGCTGAGCCGATCTGTCGTGGGGAAGAGGGAACTGAGCCAGAAAGCCAGGCTCTCGATTTACCGGTCGATCTACGTCCCAATCCTCACCTATGGTCATGAGCTTTGGGTAATGACCGAAAGAACGAGATCGCGGATACAAGCGGCCGAAATGAGTTTCCTCCGTAGGGTGGCCGGGCTCAGCCTTAGAGATAGGGTGAGGAGCTCGGACATTCGGGAGGGACTCGGAGTAGAACCGCTGCTCCTCCGGATCGAAAGGAGCCAGTTGAGGTGGTTTGGGCATCTGGTCAGGATGCCTCCTGGACGCCTCCTCGGGGAGGTGTTTCGGGCATGTCCTGCCGGCAGAAGGCCCCCGGGTCGACCCAGGACACGTTGGAGAGGTTACATCTCCAATCTGGTCTGGGAACGCCTTGGGGTCCTGCCGGAGGAGCTGGTGGACAAGGCCGGGGAGAGGACGGCCTGGAGCTCCCTAATTGGGATGCTGCCCCCGCGACCCGGACCCGGATAAGCGGAGGAAGACGAAGACAATTTATAAGGCTTTTGGTCATCTAAAACATTCAAGTACAGAGTTCAGAGGTTGGGGAAAAGTTGTTCAACCAGAAAGTGGGTCTCTTTGAAGGCCATCTTCCTAACTTGGAGGTAGAGTTCTGGCTGTAGGTGTTTTAATAACAATCATAGCTGAATTGAGTAAAATTAGATGCCTTGCTGAGGTCAAAATGTGTACCTATGTAGAGGTAATTATATATGCATTAACCAGAGGACTGTTACCCAGCAGAAGGAAGGGTCTGACCACTCCAACTTGAAGATCCAGACTCGTATCTTCTACAAATCCACATCCACTTCCCTCCAGCTCCTTGACCTGCTCCACCTGTCCTTCTTCGTTGCTCCTCCTCTCAAGCAGCTTCTTGCCTGTCACTGTGGTCACATGGGTGCATTGTTTTTTCAGGCGGTCTTTAGAAAAGCCCTGGATTTCCTGTGCCAGTGAATGCATCAGTCAGCACTTGAAGCAGCTGAAGAAAAAAAAGAATCAGGTTAATAGAAATAAGAGCAGCGGTTTGGAAAAATGATCTGTTAAAGCAAAGACAAATTCATATTTAAGTAGGAAACAATGAATACATAAATAAAAACATTGTTTAAATGATTAACAAAACGATTCAACTTGGGCTATTAACAACAATAAAAACTTGTGTGTAGTTTATATTCTGCATTTTAAACATAAATTGAAACCGAAGCTGCTGCTGCAGTGTCTCAAAGGTGTGTTTTCATTGGTTGATCGCAGGCAGGAGTCATAAATTTTCAAGCAGTGCTTGTAGTCCAGGACGATTCAATTCTGGGCTTGGACGGCCAGTATCCAGCACGTTTTAGTTGTTTCTCTGGTCCAACACACTAAATTCAGTGGTTGAATCATCTGTGTAGCAGCTCATCAGGCTCTGCAGAAGCCTGTTAATCACCTACTAATTGAAATCAGGTGTGTTGAAGCCGTTAAACCCAAAACGTGCTGGATACTGGCCCTCGAGGCCCGGAATTGTAGACTGTCTGAAGCTGATTTGGGTCTTGAGATGGCTCAAAAGGCTGTTGCAGAGCCAGTCAGACTGAACAACCACAGATATACAAATCACCCTGATGTTCACCGTTTTTTTACACGATTCTACTCAGGATGAGGGATTTGGCTAAATCAGAAGGTCACCAGAGGCCTTAAGAGCTGTTTCAGTGGAATGACCTGACTGGAAACTATCATAGATGTAATGTTCATCAAGAAGAAGAATTGTGTGTACTGAAACACTAATTTCCCTCTGGGATTAATAAAGTACTAAGTGAATTGAAGAGCAGCTGTGAGTTCTTAAGCCATCTTTTTCCAAGATCTTGGAGATTAACTGAAGTTTAGAGATCAGACAGAGATAACCCAAAGGGGAAAAATGACTTCAATTTATTTTATTTATTTATTTTCATTTCAACGGAGGGTTCTGGGTGTTTTTTTTTTATGGGACTTCCATCAATCCACAAGAGTAAAAGTCTCAAGTCAGACAAACACGCATACCTCAAAATATCTGAATCTTAAAAATAGTTTATTGTTTTGTTCTCTGTTAAAATTCAATCTATTTTCTCCCTGTTTTGAATTAATTCTGGCTAATGTCTTTTACTTAAAATCCCATCAGTTAATCAGTGTTGTTTATCTCACTGGCCCTAGCCCTAACGCATCTTTATTGGTTCTTTTCATTTAGACTTAATTTTATTTGAAGCGTCTTCAATACCGCTTCAATATTATATATATATATATATATATATATATATATATATATATATATATATATATATATATATATATATATATATATATATATAAAGATTATCCTGCATATAGTGCATCTGGGACGTAATTTTTGGGGGGGACGGGTGGGACATGTCCCCCCCACTTTTTCAAAAGGCAGATTTGGTCCCCTGCACTTTTTTCCGTCCAAAAACAATGTTACGCTCCATTAAATGGATTTGGTTGAGCACTAGGACCGAAACGGAAACCGGTTTACTATTAGACCCGCCCAAAAGCTAATCTATTGGCTCTGCTGATACTTGCTAACGTATTATTGGCTGTTGCTGCTGTCACTCAAGTTGTTAACAGTCAGAACGTGCTCACGTTGTTTTGCTAGTTTGGAGCCGCTAGGGAACACCGGTACTGAGTCACATCGTCAACTAGACGCTGTGTAATATCAGAGCTCAGCTCAGCTTCCATTACATAACATTTGAATAAGTGTTCATTTGTGAGTCTTTGGTAGTTAGGCACAGCCAGGAGGCAGCATGTCAAGAAAACGAAAAGTGGATATAAGAGACTTCTTTCAAAGTCAAAACGTAAGTTGGACATGTGACACCCCTGCATTAAGCTCAGACTCACCTCCTCCTTCACAAACATACTCAAAACTAACTTTTACAAACTCATCTCCTCCACATAACTGACTCCTTAGACACAATTTATTCGTATTATTATAATAATTATTTTTTTATTATTACTATTATCATCATAATTATTATTACTAGTAGTAGTAGAAGTTTAACTTCAAAACTTTTATCATTTAACTTTATTGTAAACTTATCTATTGCAATGTATATTTTCACATTAAAAAGCTCTGAAAAATGAACAGTATCATCATCGTCAACAGATTTTTTTAAGCTTAATGTCAAAGATGTACACTTTTCATTAGATTTATCTTATTTTTTCCATTTATTTTTTGTGTGTTGAAATGCAATAACTGTTTAAACACTTTTAAGGGAAAAAACATTTAATATGTTTTTATACACTCAAATGTTAGGGTGATGATCATGTGTAAAACATTAGTTCAGCATGTCCTCTAACACAGCAAATGAACAAACGGCCAGATCTCAGGAGGGACCGTTTATGTATAAATAATTTTTATACTTTTGACTAGGCCTGGGAATGTAACAAATTTTGCTGGATGATATTTTGTCCAACAAATTGTTGATGATAAACGATATTGTCAACATTATCTAGACCAAAATAACCACTAATATAATGTTAATATATCATAATAATGCAAGTACACCCTTTAAAATGCAACAAATAAACCTTAATTTAACATTGAAATGTCCAGAACCAGAACTTCTAATTGAATAAAAATAACAAACAAAAATTGAATAAAAAAGGAATCTCACTCCCTGTTAGAAAATGTTGCACCAAAAACAATAAAAAAGACCCAAAACAATAAATACAATGGCCTATCCATTGTCAACAGCCAAAACTGCACTTCAATAATGATAATAAATAAAAATAATAATAGAGTTGTACATTTTTTAACTTTGATATATATATATATATATATATAGAGGATGGAAAAATTATTGAGATGGGCACGTGACGTGTCAAGGGGTCTTTACATAACACCCCCCACCCCAAATCCGCACAAGCCTGCTGTGTCCCCCCCACTTCTGAAATCAAAATTTCGTCCCTGTAGTGCATATGTTTTCCTCAGCCACATATGAAGATTTGAAGTTGTAACGTTGGAGATTATATTAACGAAGGACCGTGAACGCATCACGCCAGGCTCGTAAAACCAGGACAACTCCTCATCCCTGTGAACGAGAAAAAAAACACAGACAGGGAGACGGTGGGGTGGAGTACAGGAAGCTGCTGTCCACGAATATCAGACCATGGGCGAAATCTAATAACTACATACATCACGGTTTTTATTTTTCCTAATTTTTTGGGCCAGAAGCGGCAGATTTTTTAAAGTTTTTTTTTTTCCTGGATCGGATCAGGGATAAGCGAGAAGATGTCTCGGGGAGTGATCCAGCCTAGCCAGCAGAAACTGGCAGAAAAACTCACCATCCTCAACGACAGAGGCATCGGGATGTTGACCCGTGTTTATAATATTAAAAAGGTTCGCACACACTCGCACCAATGTATCGTGAATAACCACAGAGACCTATGAACACAGACAGGATTCACGGAGTTCAGCTGCATCCCAAACCGGTGTCTATGGGTTTAGAATAGACCAATAAATGTGAACAGATTGATACATTATTTGATTATGGGAGCCCATACACAGTCCTGACGTTTCTGCGAACGTAAAACGGTTTTTAAAACAGTTACTTGTTCGTTAACAGACTCTCTTGATTTGTAATTATGCAATTTCTTGCAGCATCCTTGGCTGTGAGCGAAGCTAGCACAAGCTGTCGCGTTAGCTTGCGGTAAACCAGTTCACCGGGTTTTGAGGACTAAACCGTATTTTCATTGTATTCAAATGTATATAAGCGCTTATCATCAACGATTTATGTACGGAAATCTATTTTAAAGTCAAGAGTGAAGTCAAAACACCTGAAATTGTCCAACCTTCAGGCCTTTGCTGGTGCTAACAGCTAGCTGGCGTCGGCTTTTAATGGCGGCGGCTTCTGGCTAATCTAGCAGTCGGGCGTCGTCTCTGCTCCACCAAAATCCCAAACACGAAGCTCCAAACCCCCGGCTACAAATAATACCGCAGCTTGTCTCCGAGCTTGGATCTGCGAGTTGTAAACTAAAAACAACCGGGTTTGATTTATCTCACCAAGATGTCAGCTAGCAACATCTAGCTTACTCCTTACATGAAAATGTAAAAGTGAAAACATGATTCGTTAATGTGTGTTTGGTCTATTTTGTTTTCGGGTATTTCTAGTTGTCTGCTAGTGTAAATTACTATTTATAAGGCGGTATTAATTATTAGTGCCAGGGATAAAATATAATGGGTTTGATTTTGCAGTGTTATAAAGATAAGCTGCCCATGTTGTAACTTGACTTCATTAGCAGGTGTTTTCTTTTAATTCTGGCTATTTGGAGAATCTGAATAAACATGAGAGGCGACTTTTAAAAGCTAAAAGCTTTGATTTTTTAGGCCATGGGGCGAAACTTCACGGAGAGGTCATACACCATAAGTCAAAAACAGCAGCAAAGAAATTTATTATTATTTAATTGGGTTTAAAGTATTTTAAATACCCTTTTTTATATTCCATATAAATCAAATTCAGGAGTGTTTTCTTGTGTTTGACTCCAAAACTGGCCTTACGTTGGCTGGAATGCTTTACTCTGTTTATTAAAGGTTTTTCTCTTTAGATAGTCTGAAAAATAACAGAAATGCTAACTTTAAGATTGGTCTCTGAGGAGAGATTGCAACAACAGCAGAAACTACTGGTCATCCTGTGAGTTTATTTGGGTCAGATCTGTAAGCAGAAATTGCAAACTCCCAACAGATACCAACATTTAATTGTAGTGTGTTGAGAAATCAGACTTTTATAAAAGACAGATGTGTACTTCAGAAACAAGCATGCTGAGGTTTAATCTCCCAAGTTTGCATTTTAAAGCACACAGCTTGCATCTGATCTGAAGACGTGGCATTGGTTGATGGGGACCCACATCTGATGCCTTAAGAGACGAGGTTAAATAAGGCTTTGTTCATGGTTTTAGACCAGCGGTCTTAATAGTGAAAGAGCCAGTTTGTAGGGTTTAGATTGAATCATTGGTTTGTAGGATTTTCAAGAAGTCAATGATGCTTTCTGAGTTTTGATGACAGCAGAGTAGAAGTTAGAGCCATCACTTTCCTCATCTTTAACAGTTCGCTTTCTTATACTCATTGCTCTGCATGATCCCCATCTTGAATAAAATTAGTTCATATTGGAAACATATTGTTACACATAATGAAAATGTGTTTTTACTTTGTGTGATTGTGAGACAGTACAAGCCTGATTGTTCCTCCTTAAAACCCCCTTCCTTTTCTCCCTTCCTCCACTTTTTCCACATTCGTCTCATCCTTACATCTATCTTGACCCGTTTCATCACCAGTCCAGCGGATCTCTACAGAACCGTGGTTCATTTACAAACGTATACGTTTACTCCATCCAAAATCAACTGCACTCCAACAGTAGAAAGTTGTAACTGGAACAACAATGTGGAGATGATTGGGCTCAATATGGCATCAGGTGTAATTTAGCTTTATGAATTTATCTCTAATAAAAAAAGAAATTAATTTTAATAACTAGTGTTGCTTTAATTGTGTAATTATGAAGAAAGCTGTTTGTTCTAACCTTAAAGAGAGTAATCTATGCACATTAACAGATACATTATTATCCTACACAGATTTTAACTGGAGGGCCACCAATATGATCTTTTTTAAGACCGATGCCATTGCCAATACCAACTTTTAAAGAATTTTGCTGCCGATATCTAAAGCCGTTTATTAAGGTCGACGTATACGTTTTAGCAGCACATTGATTGTAAAAGACAACTGAACACTCACTCTGTGTGCAATATAAATGAAATAGCTCAATAAAGCTCTTAATATTTATTGAACTTCAAATATAAAACAAACTCTAAACATCAGTGATGCACCAATGTGAAATTTTTGGGCCGATACCAATATCCGAAATTAAGATCACTGTTATGGCCAATAAGCGATATTTGCCAATACTGATATACTGACATCAGTGCTTCTAAAATCAGCAGATTTTGTACAGAATTAAAAATAATTAAAGCTGATTTTATGTTATTGTGTACACACAACACACACATTAACGCTTCTGAGATGATTACAATTGCTATCACAAGACTAAACAAATGCACATCACCCCCCTTACCCTCTGAAACAGATGAAAAAAATGGAGACAAGATGGAAAAATATAGTTTATATCTGCACGGTTTTATTTATCGTCGATACCGATATGTTATAACATGACTAACATCAGCCGTTATTGATACCGATATATTGTCCATCCCTACTAAACATTAAAAAAATGGTGTGTTGGGTCCTTTGGGTCCTTTCTTCAGTCTAGTAGTGATGGCAGTTGGCCACACAGGTGCTTGATTTAAGAAAAAAAAAGTTTTATCGGCTTATAAAAATAATTTCGACCGATATAGAAAATTTTGAATTCATCAGTCGACCTCTAATTTTACCTATTGTGTTTTTCATTCATTATCCATTCACTATTTGCAGATAAACCATAATCTTTAGATTATAGTTTAGTGTCAGTCTCAACTTTTAAGTTTCTCTAAAAGTCTCCATGTAAACAGATATCCAACACAATCGCTATAGCAACAGGGCCTTTCTAACTTCACCAAGTCATGTTTCTGCCATCATGTTTTTGAGAAGGTCTTGATTGGATTTAATGTAATGATAAACCCTGTTCCAATGGGATGGTAAACATTTGAAGCCCCTCACGTTGTCTTCATATTTATAATGACACTTTACTCTAGTGTTTCCTATTAAGTAAAATATTGAGTGTAATTTAGAAAGGACAGTTTTTCCATCTATAAAATCCTGTTGGCCATAATTAAAAACCATTCTGGTCACAGTGGCCCAAAAGGGGACAGTTAAACATAAATGATTACTTACTGGTGGAGGAAATGCAGGCTGACATTTAACAAAGGGCACACCCCATTACTAGAGACACTGTTTTTCCTGCTAGTCCTAATTTCCAGGACAATTTATGGGTTTGAGGGGGGCAAGTATCCCTCCGTAAAACTTTTTCTCTCAATGACCTTTTTATCCCAAGTTGCCCTGAAGTAAATGTAACCCTAAATGTTTCTGAGATTAATTTTTCTGTGCTATTAAAAGTGAACAAAGAAATTTTGAGTGGCTCCTTGTTTGGAGATTTGCCAGTAAAGACTGTGTGTTCATTCATATATATATATATATATATATATATATATATATATATATATATATATATACATACAGGTCCTTCTCAAAAAATTAGCATATTGTGATAAAGTTGATTATTTTCTGTAATGTACTGATACGCATTAGACTTACATATATATTAGATTCATTACACACAACTGAAGTAGTTCAAGCCTTTTATTGTTTCTAGTATTGATGATTTTGAAAACCCAAAATTCCTATCTCAAAAAATAAATATATCATGAAAAGGTTCTCTAAACGAGCTATTAACCTAATCATCTGAATCAACTAATTAACTCTAAACACCTGCAAAAGATTCCAGAGGCTTTTAAAAACTCCCAGCCTGGTTCATTACTCAAAACCGCAATCATGGGTAAGACTGCCGACCTCACTGCTGTCCAGAAGGCCATCATTGACACCCTCAAGCAAGGGGGTAAAACACAGAAAGAAATTTCTGAACAAATAGGTTGTTCCCAGAGTGCTGTATCAAGGCACCTCTGGGAAGTCTGTGGGAAGGAAAAAGTGGGGCAGAAAACGCTGCACAACGAGAAGAGGTGACCGGACCCTGAGGAAGATTGTGGAGAAGGACCGATTCCAGACCTTCGGGGACCTGCGGAAGCAGTGGACCGAGTCTGGAGTAGAAACATCCAGAGACACCGTGTACACGCGTGTGCAGGAAATGGGCTACAGGTGCCGCATTCCCCAGGTCAAGCCACCTTTGAACCAGAAACAGCGGCAGAAGCGCCTGACCTGGGCTACAGTGAAGCAGCACTGGACTGTTGCTCAGTGGTCAAAAGTACTTTTTTCAGATGAAAGCAAATTTTGCGTGTCATTCAGAAATCAAGGTGCCAGAGTCTGGAGGAAGATTGGGCAGAGGGAAATGCCAAAATGCCTGAAATCCAGTGTCAAGTACCCACAGTCAGTGATGGTCTGGGGTGCCATGTCAGCTGCTGGTGTTGGTCCACTGTGTTTTATCAAGGGTCAGTGCAGCTAGCTATCAGGAGATTTTGGAGCACTTCATGCTTCCATCTGCTGAAAAGCTTTATGGAGATATTTCATTTTTCAGCACGACCTGGCACCTGCTCACAGTGCCAAAACCACTGGTAAATGGTTTACTGACCTTGGTATTACTGTGCTCAATTGGCCTGCCAACTCTCCTGACCTGAACCCCGTAGAGAATCTGTGGGATATTGTGAAGAGAAAGTTGAGAGACGCAAGACCCAACACTCTGGATGAGCTTAAGGCCACTATCGAAGCATCCTGGGTCTCCATAACACCTCAGCAGTGCCACAGGCTGATTGCCTCCATGCCACGCCGCATTTCTGCAAAAGGATTCCTGACCAAGTATTGAGTGCATAACTGAACAAAATTATTTGAAGGCTGACTTTTTATGCATTAAAACACTTTTCTTTTGTTGGTCGGATGAAATATGCTAATTTTTTAGATAGGAGTTTTGGGTTTTCATGAGCTGTATGCCAAAATCATCAATATTAGAAACAATAAAAGGCTTGAACTACTTCAGTTGTGTGGAATGAATTCAGTATATATGAAAGTCTAAAGTTTATCAGAAAATTATGGAAAATAATGAACTTTATCACAATATGCAAATTTTTTGAGAATGACCTGTGTCATTTAGTGAATATATATATACCGTAAATCCTCTAATATTGGCCTGTATTCAATTAACGGCCGGGTCTCATATGTTGGCCGATGTTGGAGACGGCGGAGGTGAATAATGGCCGGTATTTTATTGTGGCCGGGTGGAATGTGGTAACAAGCAAGTACCACGAGGGGGCGGTTGTGTCATCCATCTCACTTTTGATTTGCCATTGATAGACCGCGAGGGTAACTTTAACCGTGCAGAGACGAAGAGGAGGCAAAAATTTGTTATCAAGTTCAAAGAGAACGTGCGCTGCAGAACACTGGGGAGCAGTAGGGGTTGTATGAACTAGTCGACTTCACTATAGTGACTTTTTATGCCTGTCATCGACTAGTCGCTGTCACGTAATAATGACCGGCAAGATGCAGCCCTCGGAAAAGACAGCAGCCTGCTGTCAGCAGGTGGCAGGCCCCTGCGCTCGGGGGGGGGGGGGGGGCAACGCGCTGTGCCAGAGC